ATTTAGATACGTTCTGGTCCAACACATCTGAATTAAATGGCTGCTTAGGACAGTCAAGTCCTCCAGAGTCGTGCTAATGACCTCTGACCTCATGATTTGACTAAGGTGCAATAAAGAAGAGACATTTAAAGGTTGGAGGACACCGACCCTTATGAACTGGAGTTAAAGCCCTGCTGTACAATTGTCATTCAATCGTAATCACATTTACTTGCATACAGTGGAAACTTTACCTGTGTTGAGGTAGTTGAGGACTTTACATAGTGGCTTTACTTTAAAACCATTTTGGTTTCCATTTGTTGAAAGTCAATTACAAACATTTAGCCTGCTTTATGACAGAAAAAAAGTTTGATGTCACAAATATATGATTTTAATAGAGGCATCATTCAATTTGTACTGTAGAAAGAAGATGACAAGTGTTTCCTGAATTAACTTTATGTTCATTTCACTGCACACAAAGGACAGATTAAATATTTAAGATTGCAACAAATCTGTTGAATCTTTAACAAAATAGGTTCAGATTAACATGGGTGGATTCACAGCTACCTAAAGTTAACAATGAAATGTCTTCAAACTTACATGGATGTTCAAATATTTACTATAATCAATTAACAAAAGAAAACACCATAAAGCTGTGTATTCAAATACGACCAGTGTCAGTCTGTACAGATTAAGGAGACACCATAACATCTACCAACAGAGCAGGTTAACTACTGTAGTTGTTTGAAAGGCATCTTGGTTCAGTTGACGGCTCAGTTTGAAGCTTCAGGTTTTGGTGTTGAACCTCCCAGAATCTCAGCTGCTGCAGATTGTCTGAAGATGCAGAGAAAAGTACAGATAGACAGTTAGTGTTAGAAAGAAATTATGTTGATTTTCCTGAACAGCTGATGCACTGACAGACCTGACTGTGACAGAACATTACTGAACCTGAAAATTACTTGAGTCATCACAATGTATGTAGAATTTTTTCTTTTTATGTTGATCAAATGTTTTACAGTAAATGTTTTTCTGTGGAGGCTATTTTTGCAGTGGTGCTTTAAATAAATGCATAAAATATTTATTTTCTTAAGTATGTGTTTATTAGCTGTTAACTGTGTCAAAATATCAATTGAGAAAGAAATTAACTGCTTGTGAAAATCTAAACCATCTGAATACATTTTACCATCTACATTAATCAACTTGAAATGAAGACGAACAGAAGCAGCAGGTTTGTCCTGGTTTGCAGACGAGGTATATATTTGTTTAAGGGCCGATGAAATGGGGTCCAGACACAAACACAGTTTAATCTGAAGATTCTGGAGGATGTGTGAATAGGTCTGTTACCATGAAAAAAAATTACTGTATGATAAGTTGTTCCAAAGTTCTCAACAAACAATAATATAGTTCTTTTGAGGCCATGTTTAAGTTATATAATGGCAATGATGAAATAATAATGCAAGAACACATTCTCAAAAGTCATTAGACTTTAAATTCTAATGAACATTTAACACTGGAACTGGAAGACATTTTTAATATTCAGAATAAATAAAACGAATGAATTTTGAAGTATTTTTAAACAAAATTTATTTTCAATATAAGGTCTAATTGAGACCAAAGTACCAAACTGAAGACTTTTATTATCCAGTTTTTGGTAGAGAAAAAGAGAAACAATAAATCAGGCCAATGGAAATGATTGAGTTTGTTTTAATTTATTACATGATTAATTGATTTATTGATTATTCTGACAGGCCTATGTGTGAACATTAGACTAAATCCTTAAGTATGTTGAAAAGTCAACATAAATGAAGTACCTTTCAGTTTGTTATGGTGAATAAAGTCTAGCAGCAGATGATGTTCCTGCAGGTTCAGATCTACCTTCATTACTGCTGAAGCAACAAAATACAGTTTCAGTGATAGTGACCAACATCCATAACTGCCATAATCTCCTGAAGATGCTTGCCGACTTCGGCATCATAAAACCAGATCAACCTGGGTTAAAGTTAAGACTGAAGACAGACTATCAAACTGTGAAGAGTGAGACAATAAAAATACACGGACTCAGCTCCCAACAGCTAACGTAGCATAGCTGACATAAACTTTAGCTCCCGCTAACAGAAACATATGAGGAGGGCAGAGTATCAAAATACCAGACATATAAAACGTAACCTGAAATCATTTATAATTACTCCATGTGTCATTATAATCGGAGAGCAAAGCCTGCAGGTTTAACTTCTACTTACTTCAGAGGACAGACCACCGGGACGCTCCGTCTCTTCTGGGTTTGCCTGGCTATTTTTCCGGCCAGTGAACCATTCCGCCACCTAGTGGTCCTTTTTCAGACCACTTAGTCTCCTGTACC